AATGCCTCTGTTAAAGACAATGGCAGATTGAATAGGGCGCAGACAACTATGGAGTACCTTCAAAGAGAAAGTGCAATACAGTAAACTTAGCATTTCAATGAATCTCTAATGGGTGCAAGCCTGGGCACAGCCTGGGAAAAAGCCCGTGAAAAGATTGAAGAAGGCTGTTTAGGATGGGGGGAATCGGTCAGAGTCGCTACCAGTCTATTACAAGCCTTTTGTTCTTCTTATCAAGTTGAGTGACTCTTGTTAGATTTAAAGCTCACTAGTCCCACAGGAGCAGAATGACAATTGGTATTAAAGCACATCAATCTACCGACCTGCTTGTGTAATAAAAATGAGTGAACACCTGGTATTAACCATTCCCCACACTGAAACAATCTGTCTCCACTTCTGATCTCCAAAATACTACCATTAATATTCCAATACGCATCTTAGAGGCCGTGAGTGAGCGTGTCGAGAGAGGGTGGGAAAAAAAATCAGACACTTGGAATTTGCTTCCCTCAAATACTTTCTGACCATTACCCATTTTTTATTGCTTGTGGTGGCAAGACCGCGTCCTCAAGACATCCTGCGACCTCACCATGAACTCTGCTGGTTTTATTGCACCTGTAGCTCCATAACTCAGGAATGAAGAGTGATATATACTTTTAGTATGTTTCGCTGAAAAACATGAAAAGGCATGAGGGCAGGTATTTAACCGTTTAACCCACATCAGCTTGCTGTTTTAATGATTCTCGCCAGGATTGCAAAGAGGTCAGATTACAGGGTTCCCTCAAGCAAAGTGGTAGGAATTTTTGCTCATGGGCACTTCTGTAAGTTATATGTTTGTCCAAACTGGGCCCTGTAGAAGAGCTGTTCGTGAATGGATTACTGCTTTAACCACAGTCTTACTGAAGTAAGTAAAAGGAAAACATTTTATTATTGTTTGCAGGTGTGTTGAACACACATTCTTATCGCAACAAAAATAAAATCAGGAGAGGTTTGATGGATTATGATGCACTACATCCTAAAGCGGAACATAAAAACTTGCATTGTCTTCCACAGAAAGCTTTACAGATTTAATCAAAGAAAGGCCTGATAGACACTTTACACCAATCTGAGGATGATTCATATATGCAAGTCTGTGCTTTGGAACAAAAGCCATCCGGACACTGACTTCAGAGAGGGAAAACGTAAATGTGTAAAGAGGTGTGAATGGAAAGAGTGGGACTCCAGTTACAACAGGCGGTACTCAAGAGTATGTGTGTTCATGTCAGCACATGCACAGAGTTGCTGCTGTACCAGCTGAGGTGCAGCTGTGTTTGGAGTCGGCTCTTCTGTCCGACATGGACGCGATGTTGGGCATGAAAGCACAGCGCTCCAGCAGACGTAAAGCACAAAGCGTTGTGAAAAAACATCAGCGTGCATGTGTCTGTGTGAAGGTGTGTCTCAGGGAGAGGGTGGGGTGAAAAACCCAAATATATCTTACACATCTTTAAGGCTTTGAAGCATCTCTGCAGTCTCAACTCCTAATCTGTGCTGCAGGACAAACATCACACCCAACTCTGAGGTTGAGAGAAATTATGGCTCTTTTTAAAAAGTGCATGAATTCATTAGTTTCTGGTAACAATACGAACTCCTTGCTGGGGACCCATAAAGGAAAATACAATTATTTGTGGCATATTTTAGCTCTTCTTAACAACAAATGCAAACGCAGAGTTTGATTCAAGGTGTCCTTGGTGTGACAATTAATTTTCATACTTTCCGTAATGAATAAAAACTGGTGGCTGCCCAAAAGATAGCAAATCTATACAACACTGCAAGATGATTAGTACTAAAAGCTGCTTAGATGTCTGTTTGGCCTCTATCGAGCTACGAACTGAATCAAAACCGAAAGGTCTATTTCTCTGTAGGGAGGCAAAGCAGCACAAACTAATTAGGAATATCATCCACATCTGCATCTGATGGAACAGCGGAGGAAATAAAACGAAATGAAGAAAATGGTCAGCAAATGCTGCTCTTTTTTATTTACCACATCACAGCTTTTCTTGAAGTACCAGATTTTTTCAAGTGAGTGCGATCCACAAAGGCGTGCGAAACACCGAATAAGTGAAGCCGAACGGCAAGAAGACTCACACCACAGCAGCACAGCGTCTCTGATCGCACTAACAAAAGCCAAAAACTGTGCAGCTAATCATGAGGAGCCCTGCTGAGCTGTGAAACAGAGTCAGGTTCAGAGTCCTCACCTCTCTGACCCCTATACTGGCCCAAGTCACACCTCACTGCAGAGTCAACAAATGCCAGCCCGCCGGCCTGCGCTCCATATGTGCCAACGTGCTTGAGGAGGGGGCGAGCCAATTCAGTGCAGCATTGTCCCATCAGCCAAGATGGCCTCTCTCCTGGGGCCATAATTCAACAATGCCATGTTTACTGAACCCAGTCTTCAAGCAATTATGTGAATGGCTCTTTTAAGGGGGAGAGACGGACCTTCTCTACTGTTCAAACTTAGGAGTGGAGTTCATGTTTGCACTGCTGTGCTTTGCAGCTCTACAAAGTCGATCTGGACTCTATGGAGTTGCTGGAATTAAATAGCAGGTAGCTGGATATGAAATAATAAAAAGAGACCAACCCATCACTAACGAAATCATCAGATCAAACTGTCGCTGCACGAAATTTAGCAGAGGGATGAAGGTGTAGAGTTACACGCAGCGGAGAACGAGAACAATTCCCGCCAATGACACACACTCTTCCGACTATATAGTCATAGGAATCCAAGCTGCCCTTCCCCCTTCAGACCCCAATGAAGTCAAGGGACACTTGTGACTGTCTATACTGGGAGAGATCTCAGTGCCAAAATTGTCAGCAGTAGTGCTCATGGTTGGTCTGATGTCATACACCAGAAAACAAAAGTGGCCTCTCTGCCTTGCATTTAATTAACCGGGATCAGAAGCAAAGGCCTTATCAAGCCATTTTCATCTTGAAAACATCTAAAAAACACACATTTGAGAGTCGCCATCATCAGTTTTTAATTGAACATACAGCTGTAAACACACTTGGCCTCTACACACTAGTGCTGCTGGTGGCACACAGTAGGATACAGGCGCTCTTATTTGATGGAGAGCTCCTACCCATAGAGAGTTTTTATTGACTTTGATTGTTTGAGTCGATGCGCATGACCCTGGCATTCCAGCGGCGGGGACGGAAGGCCCCGTAGTAACACCAGTACGTGTGCTTAATTGAATCAAAAGACAGTCGGCATGCTGTAGTTCAAAGTCATGATGCAAGAAACAGATGCTTGTGGTTCCAGATAATTCAATTACGCTGGTATTGTTGGCCTAGCAGTCAATCAAGACTGCAGAGAAAATAGCAGAGGCCGGCTCCTGTTACCATCCGGTGTCAGCGCACAACGGATGATGATAGGAGTCTGGGGACTGGAAAGCTTCTGAGGAATCGATGATATTGAAGATGCATAACTTGTGTTGACTTTGAGGACGCAGGTAATAGATGTTCTGCCTCAGCTTTGTGCAGTGACACAGTGTGATAGATCATTTCATTCACAGGAACGGCTTGGCGCTCAATAGCTTGTCACCGCTGGATGTTAAATATACCTTGAAGTCATACAAATTTTAACACTATAGCTTTTCAAACGTCAGGCATATCAATGGTCGTACACTCTAGACCCAGCGTGTGAGAGATTTATGTCCGCTGCCCACCGCGGCTACGTCCCATCATTCAAAAAGGCTTTGCTTCAGATCAAATCAACACAGAGGTGTCACAGATATCTCAACCATGACAGCTCTGTTTATTGGAGGGCACAAAGGTGAGCGACCAGACGGGATTTGCAAACGGTGGGGGCAGTCTATTCTCAGCAGCGAGGCAACAGTCATCCTCTCTATATGATTCATACCACAGATATAGAAGAGGGAAGACAACGTATTTCTTACACTGCAATATCAGTAATTACTCTGGGATAAATACCCGATGATGCATGAGCGGTGTGCCAGAGGTGAAAGAAAAAATCATCTACTAATTGATTAGTGAGTCCACAGAAAAATCATTAAAGTTATTTATCAAGCAGAAAGGCCAAACAGTCTCTGTTTCCAGCTTCTCCTATGTGAGGAATTGCAACTTTTCTTTGTTCTGGGTTAAATTTACGATGACTTCTTGTTGAACAAAAAGAGGAATGGCAAGACATCATTTTGGACCCCAATAACTTTGTCTTTGCAGTAAATGATTACGAGATGAATGAATAACATCCCAAGGTGGAACTTTGAAGTAATTCCCAATACAATGCACTCTCCCACCTGTGGCAGACGGTGGATGGATGAGAACGGCATTAATCAGCTATTATTAATAAGATACAACTTACAGGGTTTTGTGTGTTCCCCTAGAATGAACCCCCCCTTGGTTCCTGGTTCTCCAGGACTGGTTCACTATGAGGTCTTACAAAATAAAGCAGCCTGAGGACACAAATAACTAACAAGGCTTTCCTTTTTCTTTTTTTCTTTTTTTTTTACATATGTTTTGATCACATGGTCAAAAACTGCATGCATTTGGTAGATGTACCAGGCAGTGAAGGCAATGCAAAGTATAAGCTGACAAACTTTGAAAAGGTTTAGGAGTTGAGGACTCCAGGGAGACTATGAATAGCTTCCAGTTTCTATGGACAAACTTAGCCCGGCTTCACTCAACAGGAGGTTCTAGTTTGTCATATTACTTCCAAAAGCATCTTTACAGTACATGCTGATATGCGGACTGGAATCTGTAATACAGCCCACCTGCATACGAGCAGCCACGCACAGACAGATCACACTATTTACTCAACATAAATAGCAACAGCAGCACATTTTGCCTTTAATAGGACATAAAGGCACTGATTTCTAACTTTGACTTGACCTTTTGGGGGGATTACTGGCTTTTATAGGTCAGTTAATGTGGGGGAGTGGAACATAAAGTCCTCCAGTGTGGAGTTTAAGAGGGGAAAAGAAGTAGTAAAGAGAAAGTTTGAGGGGACTTACAGTAACCAGCTGGCATGAGACTATCAAAGAGAGGATAAGTCCACAGGTCGCTGTGGTCGGAGTGCCCATTTTCCACCAACCCAGCACAGGCTGCGACTGCTGGGGGAAAAAAGGGAGGAAAAAAAAAAAAAAAAAAAAGGTCCCTCACTCCTCCTGGCCACTGGAGCGGTGCACCTTTTCCCGACTTTTCTTCTCTGTGAAGAAACCCGACTGCTCCTCTGCGTCCCGCACCCGGTGGGACTTCATCCACAGGTAAAACGGATCCCTTTACGCACTTGTTTGGTTTTTCTCAGTTGGAACGCAACAATATCGATTCCAAAGGAGGGCTCCAAACTTGTTTCTCCTCCCGTTGCGCTCCGAAACTTGGGACTTGTTGTAGGCTGAATGCTGTGTTGCAAAGTCACTGGGAAGTCCTGTGCAGAGAGAGAGAGAGAGAGAGAGAGAGAGAGAGAGAGAGAGAGAGAGCGCTGCCGAAAAAGTAAAAGGCGGAATGGAATTCAGGGAGTGCTGAAAGAGAAGACAGCTAATCCCAGCGTGGGGAGACGCCACCTAGTAGAGCCGCGCTAGCTGCGTGTGAGACCACACTCCCCTCACATGGGTCCCGGCCCAACCAACTGTTTGTCTTCATGGGTGTAAATGTTTGTGTGCTTGTTTGGAAATGTTTTACAAGCGCAAAAGTAGCGATAGCACGCTGTTAAAACGCTGCATTCTGAATTTACTGGAGTTAAAGAGCAGAAGTGACACAGTGGTCCGTTTAAGGAATGCATGTGCATCTCTGGAGTCTGTGTTTGTTTCTGTGTTTATTTTGTGGGTTATGATGGAGCTGATTTGATAAACTGTTGGGGACACTGTCATACGTTTTTTTTTTAATAAACAAGTTTTTACTGCATTTTCTGTAACAATTCACTGGATTGATTATGGATTGATTTTATCTGCCTCTTTGCTTTATTAATTAATGATTGTGTTTATATTTTGTGCATCTGTTCTCTTATAGTTTTGTGAGAAACACTTTGAAATGCCTCAGGTACGAATTGTGCTATACAAATAAACAATATATACACAAAAGCTGCCTTGGCACTGTTACAGATGATTCTGTTTACTGATAATAATTTTAAAAACTAATTTAAAAAAAAGTTTTAATTTACATTTTGACTGTGAAAGAAGCAGACCAAAGCTGTGTAAAATCCACATCAAACATCTGTATTTTTACAAATGCCAAAATTTTTTTACATTTTACAGCTATTTGTCTTTTTTTTGCCAGATTTTTCTTTTTTTTTCAGTGTAGTTTAAAAATAGTGCATTATACTTTGAAACATGATCACATAATAAAATATATAATATTTTCCTGTAGTTGCGGAGAACTATGTTTTGCCATGAAAAGGAAACACTCAAGTCAAATACATCAAAAATGTAAAAATAAATAAATAAATAAGCATGCAACCTAATAACACAGAATTGTTTTAACAGGAAGGCTGCCCCTAATCCTGAGATCAGTCATTTGTCTTTGACTGGGCGATAAACCTGCTCTACGACTTCACCGTGCTTTTATGCCCTCCAGACACATTTTTCCTAAAGTGCACAGCGGCACCCCTAAAACAGGTTCCACTCACTCAGCATTAACTCAGTAAATGAATCATGCTGAAAAAAAAGCTTCTAGAGCATAAAGCTGGTGATCATTAAAAGACTGCATTGGTTTAATTTGGTAGAAATGGCTGTTGCAGACTTTATGAAAATACATCGCTGTACCTGAACGCAGCATACTTGAGCTTTAAGTGCCCTCTACTGGGGTTGTATGGTGCATTACAGTGAGGACCAAAAGGACTTCTCAGTGCAGTGGATGCAAAGAAGAGACTTTCGCATCAAATAAAAATAGAAACACAATTAACCGTCCTATGTTGCCGCGACATTAGAGACACATCCTAAATATAAACCACATGCAGTTAACACACGGTAAACTGTGAGTGAGTAGCTGTGCGGTTGACTGGATGTTTGTGTCCAATCGTATGACTGGTGTTAAAAATATACAGTATCACCCACAGGTCTCAGAGAACAGCTGTTGCCAATTAAAAGCTGAACCCTGAATAGAAAATTGAGATACCATAAGAGGCTAAAGAAGATGAGCAGAATAGGCTTATCCAGTTTGGTTGGTATCTAGTGAATGTGACACCTGTGAGCAGCATCCCACAACCAGATTTTACAATCTAATTATACACTGAAGCAGTGTTCTAAAAATGTAATTGCTTGTCACTGTGTAATAACAAAGGAAAGATGTCAAATTAAAACAGTCGGCAAAGATAGAAACCCCAAACGGCCCATAATAGTGGAGTGGTTCCTTATGAGTCGTTGTTTGTATTCAAGGGTCGCAGGTCAAAAAGGTTGAGAAAGATTGCATACATGTTTTTAGTGGGGTTTGGTATTTCTTAATTGTCTTATTTTTAGCATTTTAGTTTTTTTTTTTAACTTAAAACTTTAAACTAAGTCATTTTAAGGTGTTTTAGTCTAATAAATGTGTTGCTTTTTGGATTTTCTTTTTGTTGTTGCTGCTGCCTGACTGTTAACATGTAAAGCACTTTGATTAACTCATGTTATTTTAAATGTGCTATATAATCTTGATTTGATTTAAAGGTGTCAAAAGCATTTAAAACTAATATGAAAGTATAAAATATATTAAAATGTATTGTAATACTGACAGGTGAAGTGAATAAAAGTGATCATCTCGTTACAATTCATAGTTCTGCTAGGAAACCATGGGTCCTGACATTTATGTGGATGTTACTTTGACATCCACCACCAAAAGGTAATCTTTGTTGTCACACTGTAAAAGCTGCTCAGCAACAGCTTGAGGAACACAGCCAAGAGCCCAAGGTGTTGATCTGGCCTCCAATCAGAATTTTTTGGGGCATCCACAAGATGCACCAGAAAAAAAACCTGATCTACAAAAGCAACAGGACCCAAAAGATCCACAACCAACCTCCCGGTGACAGACACCAAAGAAGGTCCCGTGTCCATGGCCCAACAGGGCAGAGCTACGCTTGTGGCAGCACAAGAGAGACCTCCACATTATCAGGCAGTGCTTTTAATGTTATGGCTGATCAGTGTTTAAGCAATGTGTCATGTCTAAGTGGCTGGATAACAAGCAAATTGCAGGCCCCAGAGCATGAATCTGTTCCTGTGCTCTTTAGACCCTGCCTGGACACAAGAGAGAGATCATTTCTGGCGCTTTCTGGTCTTTGACTGTGAGTACATTCAAGAAGCATCTCACTGACCACAGTGGCGTGTCTGAGGGACTCCTCCCTCGTCTACCATCAGCAGAAAAGTACTGGAAAAATTGTGGCCAACATCTTACGTAAAAATTGTCTTAACCCATTATTATAGGTCGCAAAACCAACAAACTGTTCGGGATATTTCTGCATCTTCTTTGTTGGCAGCACTGATCTGTGTGATTTTCATCTGTTGTCCTGAGTTTAGTAAACTATACTACTGCTTAACCAGCATTAATATGTAGTATATAATGCCTCTAAAGTCTTTGATTTTTCTGTGGCTTTCAGATAGGTTTATGTTCTCGCACAGTTGATGAGTTTTATGCTGCAGTTAGAGAGCTGAATAAACTGTAAAAGCAAATAAATAAGTTTGATGTCACTACTGAGAGACATCTTTACCAAGCTAGGATGGCCATTAATACCATAAAGTTTGGGAGCACTTTGTGTTACTGTTCGAGTAACTGTAGCACAGAGTGTGTTGCCAACTGTAGCTGGAATACGCAGCTGCAGAAAACAGCTGTGACAAAGGCCATAAGATCAGCCAAAGAATATGAAATGTTTCCCCTCTCAGTGAGGGTCAACGCCTTTGGAATCACATTAGATGCACATACTGAAAGGAATGGGGGGTCTTTTCCCCTTTCCTTCATTGAACACTAATATGCAGACCATATCTTTCTGCGTCTCCTACCACATTTTCACGAAATTACTCCACAAATCCTGTCATGTTAATAAGTGCAGTATATAAAATAAATTTGAAATAAGACTCAGAAAAAAAACAATAAAGCTTGAAACACTCGCAGAGTGTAACCCAGGCATTACATTTGGATAGCCACTCTTGAAAACTGACAACTGCCTCTTGTTGCCAAGACAACATAACTATATATGTATATAACTATATTACAGTAGATAAATAGTTGGCCTCTCTGGACACAAAATACATATAATCAATGTGATACTCCAGCAGTTTTTTATTGCACAGCACTAATGTCATTGCATTATTGCACCATAAAGTTGAGACTTGCAAAACATAGATTAGGAAACAAATGGTTCAAAGCAATGCAGCATAAGCCATGCATAATTCCAATATGCAGGTGATGCAATAACTTTTATTGTGAATTTATCTTTTATTGCTCTCTTTATGACAGTCATTGTGTATTGTTCTAAGGAAAACAAAAACAGGATCTGTCTTAAATAGGTCTTACTCTTGCAAGAATTTATATTGTCTTGGCAATGAAGAACCTTCTCCCCAGTCTGCTCTTCTGTTTATGATGACACTGCCCCATATAGGATCAAAAAGACAAAGAAGTACATTATTTGAGATAAAAGAAAGCAGAATTAAAAGCTAGCACCTCTATGTGCATATGCTACAATACAGAACTAGCTACTTGCTTCTACGGTAACCTTTGTCTTTCTGTTGGTTTTAAAGTGCAGGGCTGAACAGTTTGAGGAAAATATCAAATAGATTTTTCTGATAGATATTGTGTTTTGATTTTACATGTAATTTTTTAAAATGTTAAGTTCAATATTCACTGTGTAATCATTTTAAAACGTGATAAAGCATCACACATAAGACTATCGAAAGTAGGACTAACATACAAAGAGGACGGAATGAATTTGCGAAACCACTAACACAACAGTTTAAACCTTGAGTCAGCTGTGGTGCATAATATATATCCTAAATTGCAGCCATTGTGTTTTGTTAATAGCAATGTTTCACATTGCAATTTTGTTATGAAATCAATGAATTGTATTTACCTATACACAGTATGTAGTCTCCTTAAGGTGCTGCGACAAAATAATCAATTTGTGTTAAATATCAAGACACTGAGATGAAACCAGAGTACCAGACTTACCAAAATGAATTTTAAATGCAGAGCTGAAGGGGGAACCAGGATGAGTATGGGTCTCTCTGGGGAGAGGAACAATGTCTTTTCTCTACTTATTAACATTGATTTTATAGGTGGAGAAAAGCTATGTGCATGAATGAGCATGTGACAAATGAAAACCCTTGAATCTTGAGACAAATATATATACATATTTATACTTTATGCATTTAAATCAAATATTATAAGCATTTGCCTGCAGTTGTTATTGTCAGTAGCGCTTGTAAACGGGCAAGAAGACAAACAGGCAACAGATTCCATACAAAAAAACTTTAAGGACAGCTATGATATGAATGCTCATAAATATGATGCTGACATGAGGCATGCTAACAGGTGTGTAATGGCAGGCTTCAGTGTAATGTCCGACAAACAAGAGAAATAAGCTGATATTCGACGTTGTGAACGTAAACCCTTACAATGCTAGTCGGTGTCCTAAAATGTAGTTTATGAAATTACACCTGATTCACGTTAAAATACGAAACGTTTTTTCGTCATCTTGTTTGATTCGTGCGCGGCTGAATGAGTCATTTCCGTATTTACATGACGGCCTGCTGTGATTGGTTCACTGTAAAGAGCACAGGGTACGTTTGATGTCGTTTACTGCGCGCCGCTGCCGCTCAGCAGCATGACGCATTACGTTCAGACTAAAAATAGCGGCGCAGCGAGATATAAACCGAACACACAGAGTCGCTAAAGTAACTTGCAGATGAAATGCTTCCAGATTGGGCAATTTTGTGAATAAAAATATATATGTGCGGATTAGTAAACTTTGGACTACCTTTGTACCCTTAGGACAGTTTCAAACTAAATTTAGTTTATATTTTATATAGTTGTAAACTATGAAGGATGAATTAAAGGTATAGCACTCTACCAGATATTATTAATCCTCCGGTAAAAATGTCCATCTGTTATATGAAGCTATCCAAAAGCATAACAAACATAGAAAAAAAGCATCTATTATATTGAATGAAAAAAATTATCTCATTAAAAACAAAATTTTGGTTATTTTTATGACTATTGGGTGAGTTCTAGGTTCTGATTGGGCTGCCTTTTGTCGGTCAAATCTGGCAACACTGAAGCTGAAAAAACGCCTCAGATCAGAAATTAGTTCACCTAACTATTGAAAGAGAAAATGTGTGTTTTAAAAGAAGTCTTTTACAATCAAACCCCATTGTTAATAATGAAGTCTAAATTTTGTCATTGAAGAATAATATTACAAACAATAAGGATTTGTGACATGTCCATAGCATTAGTATGCTGATGTACTAGTGAGTTGACATTGTAGACCGTTTATAAGAAATTGATCTCCTGTATGTAGAGTTGCTGTTAAAACATTATGAATTGAAATGTCACCTGTAAAAGTTCCCCTTCTGATTTTAACTCCACAGCCATCTTCAAAAATATATATTTAAGGAAACATTTCCTCAAGGTTCTCTACAGTTTTTAAATCACTGTACTTATCAAGAATAAACTTCTGGGACCAATAGCAGGAATTTTCGATTAAACGCGTTTTATAAAATGTGAACCTTTAAAGGACGTAGAACCAATATGGCTGATAGGAAAATTATCTTTTCTTTAAAGCTTGCCATCAAATGCCTTGATTGCATGCAAATGTGTTTTCACTTTATTTTAGTCATATTTTATTGTGATGTCTCTTCTGCCATCTTTATCCTCTCAAAAATGCTGACAGGCCTGCAACGGGCTCATACAGCCTTGGTAGTAAGAAGAAGTGCAGGGCTGGCTAAAGTTTAAAATGTATAACTTTATTTCATATTTTTGAGCTGGTAATACAACATTAAGTGGCTGCTGCAAGGTAATATGAGAAAGGAAATGACAAATAGTACTGAAGATTTTTTTTCATGACATCCTAAAAATGAAAAAAAAAAATGCGGGTACTAATTTCATCAAGGTTACCATATATTTGTAGTAATATTGAGTGTGTACACCACTGTGCAATGTCACTTTAATGTCAAATGATTCAAAATTTCACCACCTCTCAGTTGGACTGTCTCTCACTTGACATGTTGAGTATTTCTTTTTTGAACATTAAGAACTCATACTTCAGATTACATTGAAAATAGAGGCCCCAAAGTAGAAAGTCATTGCAACCTATTACACCTGTGATCAGTGACACACAAGTAAGGAAACCTGTGCTCACTGAAACCAAATTGAGTACACTTATGATTTCCAGTTATTCTAACTGCACTTTCTGTGTCTGTCTGCATGTCTGCATCATGGCTTGATGTGAAAAAGAAATGCCAAATAAACTTCACAAATACAGAAAAGGATACAGGAAGATCTGTGTCCAACTAAAAATGAGTGGAAACACAGTTGCAGCAATAATCAGGAGGTACAGAATGAGCAGCAGTACCACTAACCACAGCTGCATGAGCCGTCCTCCTAAAATTATCCTCACCCTTCACACAAGACCAAGATAAAATTGTTCAGCTCAGATAGGGTCCAGCATGTTTGATGTGAAACTGACCAGGACTATCATACTGAATGCACAGTCCTGACAATGAAGTACAGAGGTAGAAATGTGAAGATATGGGACTCCATGAATGCAAAAGGTGTTGGGGAGATGACATTTATAGACAGTACCATTAATGATAGTGGCTGACAAGATGACTCCCAGTCTGCAGAAGTTTGGCAGAAGAGGAACATTCCAGCATGACAACAATCCAAAACATTCTGCCAAAATCACATAAGAGTTTCTAAAGGAGAAAAAAACAAAAAGGGAAAACTATCCTGGACAAGTTTGCTGCTTAACTTGAATCCAGTAGAAAAACTTCAGCCTTCCAGCAATGCGCAGCGGAAAAAAATTGCCAAATGAATAGCCGAACAGCTGTTTAGAATTTTGGAATGCTTTATTATTATGCTGTTTTTTTATTCTGAAGAGAATCGAGTCTGTCAAAAAAAAAAAGTCAAGGTAGGCATGCAAAGTATTTTAAAAAGAGAGCGTTGTTAAAATAAATGTAGAGCAAGAACTGCATGGACTTCACTGAGAGCAAACCCACATTGCATTTCAAACAGAATGTCAATGGCAGCTGTCTCACAGTGACATGAGACCTGATAACCATCATCTCTGATTGATGCCAATCAATCAGTATTGAGCCTCTCTGGAAGGAGGAGTTTCCAGAGTCTGGGTAAATCACCCAAAATGATTCAGCTGCTTTGTCTTCTACTTAATTACAAGTTGAAAATGTAATGTGTGTGTGTCTTTTTTCTCCTGGGTATTTGAGATAGTTACATCCAGACACCTCTGTGCCACCTCTCTCATGGCACCTCATCAATACTCACCAGGGTTTTCTGGATGATTATGTAGTAACGGAGGCCCTGGGGCAGTTTGTAGAACATATTCTCCCTCAGAGACTTGCACAGTAGATAAATGCTTGGCTTTAGCAATAACAATGATCAACATTACAGAAGGGATGACTGATGCTTTACATCTGAAATAGCACAGTTGTTCCACATCACATGTAGGTGCAAGGCTTTTGGAAGTCAGCACTGATGAAAATAGTAAAAGCACACTAACTCATGACCATTGTACTTAGGTACACATTTCCGTCTCAGGTGAATCTTCATCAAGTCAGCAAACATTACAATCCTGCATTTTCCATTTATCGTAAGTGCCATTGATAACATCTGCATTATTAGCACAAATATGTCTGTCATTTATATTTGCAGTGTGAAAGCTGAGACATTTTACTGGTAAGAACTACTTGTACTTTGGCTGCTTGCCTTTCAGCGACCACTCACAGCTCTTCTGCTGCCCACATAGTGAATTGTTAGCTACTCTACAATAGTGGTCGTTGTTTCCAATCGCCTTCCCTTCACTGGTTTGCCACTCTTGCATTGCACTGCATTACCTTAATTTATGGAAGTTTTACAATTTATCACTTTTTGAGCATTTTTAAGTGTTTGCAAAACAATTTCCCTCCACGGATGAGTAAAGTAATTCAGATTTTGGATTTGATTTGCAGAAACAGACAAAAGAACCTATTTGTTTGCTTATTTTTAAGAGTTTGATATCATGTTTCACTATTATCTACACACTCAACTGTCAGATTACATTAAAAACATTGAAGCTTCTGTGATGCACCATGATCAGTCCAAACTGCTGAGTTATGCAAGTAGCCTGTATATACAAATTTCTCATAATGCACTGAATATCCTCCCTTCAGATATTGTGCCCTGCTGATCATGACCTTTTATCCTAAGAATTATGTGTTTTTCTCATTTTCTTCTACCCAAACAAAAGAAGTTGTGCAATTGTGTGAAACATTTGGCTACAGCAACCACTTTGACATCCTTATGCAGAACAATGACAGTGTAGTTCCAAATGGCCCCGACAGAGTGATGAATCATCGTATCAGTGTGATTTCAAACTAAAACAGGCTCCATATTGGAAGGAATGTGACTGCTCACATCCCCTTAGCAAATTAGAACAAGAGGTGAAGTTGAAATAGAACACAGAAAACTGACTCCAGACTTACTGTGTGCTTGGTTTATTATTGGACAACATAAACTGTGAATGTTAGCTGCAATTTGAAGAGTTACTTATATGGATTTATCAAAGCTACAATGTCTTCTGCTGTCAGGTACTTTATCTGGTCTTCAATAGTGCAAATATAAAATTGTATACATTCAGGATTTACTTTCATTTCCAGTATGTACAACAGGACAGACTGCTTATTTGGCACTCAGGTGTCAGTACTGACTGTTAACAAATGACCTGTTCAGTTTTTAGTGGACAGTACTGATCAGTAATATTTAACTTTTGGGAGGACGCACAACATCTCAAAGAGGAGGTTGGCTCCAGTCAACGCAGTGTTTCCTGTTGAGGGGGGGAAAAAAAGCATAAATAACAGTTAAAGACAAAAAAAACAGGAAGAATTTAACACAAAATGAAATGTGAACAGTACCTGTGGTGTCATAGGGAGGAGACACCTCCACCAGATCACATCCAACAAGGCTGAGACCGCGGCATCCTCGGATAATCTCAACTCCCTACATCCAACCAAAATGACAAAAAAAATGCATTAATCTTCATGCACAATGGACAACTGCAAACAACAAAAGGCTCCAGTGCTTTTGCTGACATTTGTATTGTGCATGTGGAGCCAGTGGACTAAATTAGACAGATGACAGTCTTTTACGCCATGTTTACCTGTATGGGAGTGAGTCCTGCTATCTCTGGAGTGCCAGTCCCGGGGGCAAAGCCTGGGTCAAGAGCATCGATGTCAAAGCTGAGGTATACTGGACCGCTGCCCATCTGAGCCCTGACCTCAGCCATGAGTGGTGCAAGAGGTTTGAACCAACATTCCTCTGCTTGGACCACACGGAAACCCTGCAGAATAAACAAGTAAGTGAAGTTTGATAATACACAGATCTTGTTTTTTAGCCTAAAACTCATAATGTGCACAATTCAGACTGATGAACAACCAAAAAAATAACCAAAATAAATCTATTACATTCTGCCTCAATGATTGTTTGCCCAAGTTGTGACTTTCTGATTCAAGTGTAACCTTACAGGTAATTTTAGACATTTGATAGCAAAAAAAAAGGGAGTTGGGAAGACATGATGTTTCTCTCATGTAAGTTCTGTAACTATAAAGCTGAAGACTACAGTAGCTTTGCTGAAAAGACTGGAAAAACAGGCACTTGATCAAGCGATATCAGTCACATAGCCAGCTAAAAACGCCTTAGCAACATGTCACTTCTAGTTGAGTTTCAAGGTTAGCTTGTTTCTTGTGTTTTCAATCTTTATACTTAGCTAAGCTAACTAGCAGCATGTCAGATGTATGTATAATGAGCATAGATTACTTAAAGGCCTTTTAAAGTCTTTCAAATCTTGAGACCTAAAGATAAACACATTAGACAATAATCTAATTTTTCTGTTTATGCAAGTTGCAACTGCTGAAGGAGTCCACATTCTTGTTGGTATGTCAGCACAAAATCAACTTTTTCCTACACAATACATTTCAACATGAACCAATTCATTGTTTCATGTGGTACAGGAGAGCTTATGATGGCGACATTTAATCCAAATCACTTTATTCTACATGTCTCATTTAAAAGTTCACAAAAAAATAAAAAAACAGGTTGTACTAAACAGATTTCCATATAAATTCAGAGACTTTTCAGCTGAACTGCAGGTTGTGTTTGCACAGGGAGGAAAGACGAAGCAAGTAGTACAATATTTATGGTATGTCGAGCCACCATTTTTATACCAGTATGGGGGAACACCCAAGGACACTTGGAAAACATTTTGTACATGTTGAGTTTAAGTTATATATAGTCATGGTTGTGCGGTTTCTATAGAGGTGCAGGACTTTATACTGCAGTAAAAAAAATGAGTCTACAGTGGGTAAAATGTGACAGGAGCAAAAATCGCCTAGAAACTGCTTCTCGGTGCTCAGATGGTTAATAATGTTATCAGGGCTACTCTCCTTGCAGAAACTGTACTGAGAGT